CGTTTGGCCTCCCAAATGTCTGTGTATGAGGCTGCGAATCTCGCCCAGGGCCTGTGCTTTCGGAAAGGCCTAAAAGGCCTGGGAATTTCCACGCTGCTCGGCCTGTGTTCCTTGAACCAACTGGAACGACGAAACTGCCTGGACCCATTATGCGAAATCGACAGTCGAGGGCCTCTTGTGATTTGTTAGGCCTGCCTTCACTTAGGGCAGGCACACATGCAACAGGGGCCCACTTAGGCCTGTCGAGGATCTGAATCCTCGCATTCTCTCCTCCTGTACTTCGATAGTCCCCTTAGAAGTCTTCTATTTTGCAGGCATCTTTCCTTTGAGATCTCTTTCGTAGCCTGCAATGACTTGAGGTGCAGTTCTCCTGAGTTCTTCTCTGGTGAACCACCGATCTTCGCTAGGATCCAGATGATGTCTGAATCTGACGCAGTACGGCATTTTTGGCTTAGGAGGGCGGCCTCTGCCCGGTGGTCGAGGAACAGGCATCACACGATGCTCCACGATCTGGTCGATGTCCACCTCGCCATCCATGGTTGGGGGCAGCATTGATCGTCTGGAAGGGAATTGTGCAGACTCTGCGAAAGGTGCCAGCTTTGAGGCATGGAATACAAGGTGTGTACGTAGATGTGGGGGGATGCGAATCACATAGGAAGGTCCATCTATCTGATCTCCCACTATGTCTAAGACCTCCCAAGGACTGAAGTACTGTGGCACTAACTTTCTAGAAATTCCCGACTCCTGACCCAGTTTAGATGACTTTACCTAGTCTCTATCGCCTGCCTGAAAGTTAGAGGGCCGTCTATGTTTATTCTCAGATGCGATCATAGCATCCTGAGGCTTTCTAATATGTTCAATGGCCTGTTTGTAGCGGACCTCCGGTGGGCCTGTGAGACCAGCCCCTTGGCCTGTTCTCACAGGCCTGTGTTTTATTCGGGGCAGTCCAGTCCAGGCCGGTACCTCTGTCGGTACCAGCCAGTCCAGTCCAGTCTCGTCAGTCCGCTGGGGTATACCCCAGCCTTTGTCTGTTTTCGAGTTCATTCTTCACTTGCACATTTGGAGTACGTGCGTTGGAGTCTTGCGTGGGGAACTGCGTTGTGCCATCTCGCTCCCCCCTTCTTCCTCCATCTCCATCTCTACCACTAGCGGAGCACCACACCTGGTGGGTCCGCTACATTGGTATCGGAGCGGGAACGGACCCCGCTCCCTCCCACCACCCCGTACAGCTGGCCAGCAGCCCGCACAGGGGGAAAAGCAGCAAACCCGACAGCGGGTTTTTTCGGTGTTTTCTGGGTATTTCGCAGCGAAAACGAGGCAGAAAAGTGGCGCATGCTGCAGGTGACACGTGGCGAAAAAGGAAGTGCCACCACGAGCACGTGCGTGCAAGCGCCAAGGCCAAGGCAGCCGCATGCGCGCGTGCGCCCACGCTGTCCGGCCCCGCCCCGCTCCCCTCCCAGATTATTTGATTTAAGATTCGGGATGTTTGCTGCTGCTGGGGTTTCAACCCAGGCACCTGCTGCCCCATGCGCGTGCGTAAGCAGCCCCTAACACACTCGCCACAGTGTGTGCTTGGCATTGTAGCATGGCACACTCGTGTTCAAGAGGTGCCGTGCTGGCTATTTACCC